AGAACCACTGAGCCCATGCACCATTATACTCATGTTGTCTCAGTCAGAACTTAATTTGCAATGGAGCTAAACCATATACTTCAGCACAACTCCAACAATCCAGCTAGAATTAGACTGATATGGAAAATGATTGACAATATAATATCTATGTCTCTTGGAATATTTTACTTTAGGTAAAATATTTACCAAGATTCAGGTCATGCACTGTACAATCCAACCATTTGAGTCATGCAATTTAATTTAAGGCATTAGTATATTTAGAGTTGTGTAACCAGCAATTATAGGATTTATTTATTTATTTAGTGCAAGCCCTAGGGCTTGAGCTCAGAGCATGAACACTGTCGCTGAGCTTCTTTTTGTTCAAGGCTAGTTCTCTACCACTTGAGACACAGCTCCACCTCTGGCTGGCTTGCTTGCTTGCTTGCTTGCTTGCTTGCTTGCTTGCTTGCTTTCTTTGTCTTTCTTTTTCTTTCTTTCTGTCTTTCTTTCTTTCCTTCTTTCTTTCCTTTCTTTCTTTCCTTCCTTCTTTCTTTCCTTCCTTCTTTCTTTCTTTCTTTCTTTCTTCCTTCCTTCCTTCCTTTCTTTCTTTCTTTTTGTCGTAGTTTATTGGAGATAAGAGTCTCACAGACTTTGCTGCCCTGGCTGGCTTTGATCCTCAGTTCTCCACTTCCTAAGTAGCTAGGATTACAGAAGTGAGCCACAGTGCCCTGCTCAATTGTAGAACATTTTTTATCATCCCTTAGTTATCATCTCTCTGCCCTTAACTTCCCCTAGCCTTAAACAACCATGAATCGTCTCTCTCTCACATTTTTCTTATAGTTGGGATCATATGTTGCCGCATGTTCCACTTTGTGCTTGAATAATATTTTTTATTATTCTTTTTTTTTAGTTAACCTTACGTAGTTACACAAAGGAGTTTCATTTCGCCATGTCAATTTGTGAGTGCAATAAATCATGATCAGTGTCACCCCTTTCATCATTCGAATAAGATTTTATATCAATATAAGTATGTTGTGTTTATTTACCAGTTGATGGACACTTGTGGTTTCTATTTTGCGACTGTTATGAATATGAACATCTATATGCAAGTTTTGTGTGGACACACAATTTTATTTCTCTTGGTATATACTTAAGAGTCAAAGTTTTGGGTCAAACAATAATTATGTTTCATGTTTGTGAAGGAATTCTATACTATTGTCAGGTGGATGCATCCTTTCATATGCCTAGCAGCAGTGTGAGAGTGCTGATGTCTTCAGATCCTCCTCCGCACTTACTGTCTTTTATTGTAGCTGTGATAGTGGGTGTGAAGTATGTCTGGTTATGGTTTTGGTTTGTACTTCTCTGAAAAAAATGAGGTTGGCAATCTTTTCATGTGCTTATTTGCCCTTTTGTATTTTTTTTCTGGAGAAATGTCTATTCAGATCTCATTTTTGGTGGGGTTATTTTTGAGTTATAAGAGGTTTATATATATATATATATGCACATATAATTATATCTATTATATATTCTAAGTAATATTTCTTTTCCGTTTTCTGATACGTTTTACTAGCATCAATTAGTTGTACACGGGCTTTCATTTTGACATGTCCATATTATTCAATGTACCTTAATCAGACACCCTCTCCATCATACTTTCTCATCCTCTCCCATCACTCCCCTTCCCAAACCAGTATCCAAAAGCTTCACTGTTTTGTTTTTCTCATATATGTAAGTATTTTGATCATATTCACTCTCTTTTATCCTATTAGTACCCACAGATAGGACCTGTTTTTTATTCCTGTCATTTTTAAGTGCATATTAATTGTTCAAAGGGGTTTCTATGTTGTAGTTCACTTTAATTAGATTGACCTTGCTTCATTTCACTTTCTAAATTCTCTTATTATTTGGATTTTTCTTTTTTAACTCTTTTATAATGTCCTTTCTTTCTTTTTTCTTTCCTTCCTTCTTTTCTTCTTTTTTTCTAGTACTGGGATAGGAACACAGGACCTCACATTTGCTTGGCTTTTTTGCACACTCAACTGCTGTTCTATCATTTGAGTTATGCCAACTTTTTGCTGGTTTATTTTGGAGATGAAGTGTCTTACTTAGACTTTTTTTTTCCTGGGCTAGTTTCAACCAAGATTCCTCATATCTCAGCTTCCTGAGTACCTGGCATTACAGAAGAGAGTCACTGGCACTGGCTGGGTAGTGTTTTTTAAAGCCAAAAATATTCCTTGAAGTGGCATTATGGCTCAAAGTGGTAGAGCACCAGCCTTGAACAAAAGGAGCTTAGAGACTGAGTCCAGGCCAAATTTCAAGCCCCACAAGCAACCAAAAAAATCTAAAGCCAAAAATATTCTTATTTGGTTGTTTTTTTTGGGGGGGAGGGGGGTCCGGTCATGGGGCCTGAACTCTGGGCCTGGGCGCTGTCCCTCAGCTCTTCAGCTCAAGGCTAGCGCTCTTCCACTTGAGCCACAGCGCCACTTCCGGCTTTTTTCTTTTTGCTTATGTGGTGCTGAGGAATTGAACCCAGGGCCTCATGTATGCAAAGCAAGCACTCTACCACTGAGCCACCTTCCCAGCCCCAAAAATATTCTTATTTGGATAAAGCCCAACTTAGCTTTTTAAACATTTTTGTTTCGTATACATTTGTATCATATCTAAAGCTCTACTGCCAAGTTGGAGCTTATAGAGGTTTGTTTTCTTTTTCTTTCTCTTTTTTTTGGGGGGGGTCCAGTCGTGGGGCCTGAACTCTGGGCCTGGGCACTGTCTCTCAGCTCAAGGCTAGCACTCTACCACTTGTGCCACAGCACCACTTCCGGCTTTTTTCTTTGTGTTTATGTGGTGCTGAGGAATCGAACCCAGGGCCTCATGCATGCAAGGCAAGCACTCTACCACTGAGCCACCTTCCCAGCCCTAGAGGTCTGTTTTCATAGAGATCTGTTTTCTTTCAAGAATTTTGTAGTTTTACCTTAACAACTAGGAGTTTTACTCATTTTAACTTACCTTGTATTTATATGTGTAAACGTGTGTGTGTGTGTGTGTGTGTGTGTGGTGTGGAGGTGGTGTGTGGTCTCACTATGTAGCCCAGGCTGGCCTGAAACTCACATTTTTCCTGCCTACATCTTCCAAGTTCTGGGATTACAGATATATACTACCACACCAGCAAGTTAACTTTTTAACATGGTCTGAGCAGAGGATCCAGCTTCGTTCTTTTGCATGGATTTATCTGGATGTCCCAGTATTGGTTGTTGAAGTGATTGTTTTCTTATTGAATAGTCTCAGCTCCTTTGCCAAAAATACTGATTGACCATATTATTAAAGGAATATAAATATACAGGTTTATTTATGTGGATACTAAATTATATTCTATTAATTTCTATGTCCATCTTTATGATAGTATCACTGTTTTGATTGCTTTGTTTTCCTGAAATATTTTTAATTCATGAAATGCCTATCTTGGGAATTCAAAATATGTTCCATTTTTATCTTATTAAACTGTCAAATTGTGTTTAACTTTTGAATCAGGCTCTTTATTCATGTCTAATAAAAAAGAAGAAATAGTGAAATATTAGTTCTGATACATATTAATCAGAATTTGCATTTTAATAAAAATTATTTTTAACAGCCATGTGATTTGGATAATCAATTTTTGCTTGTATTTGTAACTATTTGAAGAGAGTTCCCTGGCTTGACTTATTGCCATAGAAAAGTGAAAAGGTTCGCAGTGAAAATCCACATCTAAATATATGGATGTTCAGAGTGTAGGAGGTTTGAATTGAAAGCTAATGAAAGAGTAGAACAATGGCTTGAGAACTCACTTTTTTGCCAAGTACTTCACCCAGTGAAGCCCAGCCCTCCCACGATTCATGATTGACAGTGCAAAGACCTCAAATCAGGTTGGAGGAAGACAGCCTGTGATTGTGTGTCTTATTCTGATCTTCTTAACTTATTTTTGAAAAAAGAAAATGACAATGTAGCTGGATGTCATGGCAAACAAAAAGGCAGTCTTTCCTACTTGATAACTGACAGGGAAACAATAGATATGTCTTAAGATTATATAAATAATCTGCTAATTTTCCAAGGAAAGAAAGCAACACTCAGAGATAATGTAGCAGATGAACATCAGTAGATGCAAATATAAAGTGTATATTCTGCTTGTGTTTTTGTATTGAAAATCAAGAATTTTGTCTTGGTCTGCTAAAATAATTGAGAGATTCTGAATCCTAATCAGCAGTCAACATATTCTCCTTAGAGTATAAATGCATTCATTCATTCATCCCACCCCCTCCCCCCTCCTCCCTCTCACACCACTTCCACTATGGTGTGTTAATAGATATTGAGTTTATAGTGAATCTGCTAACAGAAGATACTTATTAAAGGATGGGAAGATAAACAGAGAAGAAAGGAGGATGAGGAAGCCTTGGACCAAAACAGATCATAACCACAGACAATATTGGAGAGCTGATGGATCAGGGTAAACTGGAAGGTCCTCTCTGTAGCCTCCTCCATGTCTGTTCGTCTTCTCCATCTCCACATAGGAATGATGAAGGATTAGCTATATATGTCTCTCATGTCATGCTGTCACACTGCACCAGAAACTCCATTTACTAAGAAATCTGCCCAATTGAAACACAGCTTACTTTGTCACAAAAAACAAAGCATAAATGTACTCTCAACTAAATCATGTGTTTCAGCTCAAATTCAGATAACAGTTATTTGATGGTTTTAATTTTACTACAGTGACACAGAAATTGACTTGTCATAAAGTGGGAGAAAATACAAAAAGAGCAAGTCAATTGATTTGTTTGATCAGACACTAACTTGGCTTTTATTTTAAAGCAAATCTCATATTTATTCACTGCTGTTTGTAATTGTGCCTGTTTAGAGGTTAAAACTTGGTGGTTTGCTGTGTTTAGAAAGGAATATCAATGTGCCAGCATTTTTACTGGGTAAATGTCTTTCATAGTACAAATCCATCTGCCCTCTTTTTCTCTAACTTTTCTCTAACTTGGTTATAGGCCAAGAAAGAAGAGAGAGTCTCACCATAACAACATTTGAAAAGGATACATTGCCAGAATTTGGGATACTTTTTTTTGACTGTCAGCTCTCCAAGGTAAATATTACCATTATACCAATAAGAAGTACATCATTAGAATGTTCAGATGCCAGTGCTACAGTACAAAGCTTTAATTGTTTTAGTCTGATTTAGACCTAGGGTGATGTGAGAGAAGGAGGCGGGGAGAGAGAGAAGAGAGAGAGCAGAGCTGAGCTGTTGGGTATACAGCAGCCTCTGCTAAATGTGTCACCAAGAAAATGCCATCAGACTCTGGGAGCTTGCTGAGCTGGACTGCAAATGTGTGGGAACAGGGAAAGGAAGGGAAAGCTGAACTGTTTTCTTCCTGTTAAAGATCTTCAGGGAGACAAAAGCCAATGTGTGTTGATTTTTTTTTTTGAAGGCATTTCTCCATTTAAAAAAAAAGGTTGGATGATCCTTTAAAGGTTAGGTAAAACATACACTACATGTGCATGTTACAAATGGGAGAACTCTGATTCATATAGTATACCAGCTTCATCTCCAAAAATGCCTACTAAGTAAGCCTTTTGTTAGTTTATGAGAAATATTTTATGAAGTTCTTGTTTTGGAAAGTCCTTTCTTTGTAAGGGGAAGTGTGTGTCCATGTATGTGTGTCTGTGTAACAGAGAAAAAAAATAGAAATAGACCCCGAGACCCAAGAGTAGTTTCTTCTCATGTTTCAGAACAGTAGCTCTAGGTTCTTTCTTTAAGAGCTACAATATGTGTAGGAATCAAGGCTTAACAGATGAAGCTGAATCTGTAGTCAGCCTCAGCCCTCATGAATTAGCTGCCAATATTTTAACACAAATCACTGTGTCATTTCTATGAAGTTCCCCTGTTGCTGCTCAGTTTGTAACAAAAAGCTGTTTTTGCCAAGCCCTGAAATTTCATCTGATGAAATGCTGCTCCTTTCCTTGTGAAGGTGCTTGTATACTCATATATACAGAAATGCAAAAGTGCATGACCTTATTTAAAAGAAGATACTTGACAAGTTTCTGCTTAGAAGGAATGCATGGGTGGCATTACCCTAATGTTCCAAAAGGCAGTTTCAGAGTGGCCAGGGAGAGAAGCAGGTCTTTCTCATCAGCCCTCATCCTGGCTATTCTCTTCTGAATGGCTTTGGGGGGGGGGTGCAGGCTGTACATTAGAGAATTTTGTGATACTATTCATTCCCTGTCTGACAGAGAGGGCATTGTTTGCTCACTGTAATGGGCTTGGCAGGAATCTGTGCTGTGCATACAGAATGGGAAAATAGCAGAGCAGTGGGAAATCTCAAAATTCTAAGGAATAGATCAGCTTAGGGATTTTCTTTTAAAACATATATTTGAATAGCTTCTCATTACTGAAATGCAAGTCATAATTTGGGGAAATAGTTTTCCTTTCAGTGATTCCTTTTTTCATATTGCATTATGCATGTATTACATGAAAAAGGTCTTTAGGAGAGCACTATGCTTGTCTAAATGCTGTAGTAGCAAGAACTAAAATTAAGGAGGTTTAGAAATACTGTAAGAACACACCAGACCTGCTCTGATACTGCTCCTTATGCCTTACTATTCACATCAGTGTAAATGAATATTACCCTATCTATGTTCATTATCTGGTGATTCATAGAAGCAAATGTGTGCTGCCTAAGGTAAGGAAAAAAATTTAAAAGATGTGCATTGAAGTAAGAGGTGTATTGCTAGGGACGATGAGAGGGTGCCACACCCATACCTTTAAAGCAACAACAGCAAGATTGATTCCACTACTGCAAGGGAAGATTCAAAGCATCGTGCAAACCTAGGACTGGAAATGGCATGGGCAGAAATAGAAGCATGACTGAGGCCCAGGGTTTCTGCTTCTGAAAGGCTGTGTTTTCGCACCTCTTCCTCCAGCACTGAGATCTCACAATACAGTGGTCCCTGAGAGTCTTAGCTGCCTGAGAAGTGTGTGTGTGTGTGTGTGTGTGTGTGTGTGTGTGTGTGTGTGTGTTACTAGAGTAGAAAATGTTTTGAGAATGCGGGCTGTTTTGTTCACAGGGTATGTGATCAAGAGAAGAAACTCCAACCCCAGAGCATCCCCAGTGGCAGATGTTTAGGGGTCATTGCCAGGTCCAAGTTTAAGGACCTCTCAGCATCAAACTTGAAGAGAATTCTTACTCCCCAGCCTTTGCTTGTATGTATGTGTACAAATAAATTCCTGGATATTTTCACAAGTACTGTATAATATAAATTATGAGATTTCTAAAACTATAGTTATAAGACTATCCATATAGAGAGATCATTAGATTTATTATAAATTCTTCTGGGCTTTCTATATAGTTTATGTAAGGATGAGTCTTCAATTACTAAAGCCCATCTTTTACTCCAAGACTACTGGCATGATTAATACATATTATTTGTGGTTTTAAAATTTCTCAATTATTTAAATTGAATATGGCAATCTTTTTGAGCATATATTTTAAGTAGACATAGATATAGGTACTTTACGTGTATGTAATTAATATATATTAGTATACATGCATATTAATATTTAATACATACTATATGTTAAATATTTTTAAGATAGAGAGCCAGACATTGTGGTGCATTTGTAATCCCAGCACTTGAGAATTGGAAACAGGGGGATCTTGAGTTCAAGCTCAATATAGGCAATATAGTGAGTTCAAAGTCAGCCTGAACTGCATAGCAAGATCTAGTCTGTATTTGTGTCTCTTTCTACATACATATATGTATGCAGAAAAAAATATGAATATAGATGTATATATGTATATGTAAATATATTTGTGTGCATGTTTATGTGTTTGTCTTAATAGGACTGAGGGTGTAGCTCAGTAGTAGAGTACCTGTCTTGCGAATGTGATGTCCTGGATTTTATTCCCATAAATAATAATAATTATTATTATTATTTATACAAGGAGAAAGGGAGATAAATATGTTTATGTGTTTCCAAGTAAATTAAGAAACTAAGAAGATAATGAAGGCTTTGATCAGAGTTTTTCTTTTCCTTTATTACTTCTAGATAGCACATTTTAGTTTGTGTAATTTTGTTTGATTGTGTTTAATAATTGAGTGAGGATGACTGAGAGGAACAGAAGACTTAGCTTTGTAAGAGGATGTCATGAAGAGGCTGGCTAGCCTTTCAGCCTTACCAGGGGCTCTGTGTTAGTGCTGCCTGAGGCAGCAGGACTGGTGCCCTGGGAGACAGTGCTGTCTGCCTGGGCACTGCAGGGAAACTTCTGCTAGCTGCCAGGGGCTTTAGTAGCCATATCTCCTGCCCTGCTTGCTCATTCTGGTTTGTTGGAATCCCCAGTAGCTAGTATACTCCCGGCTAGATCATTAGCATGGGCTGGTGGAGACTTGGCTTTCCAAAGCCTCCGAGCACAGCTCACCAGAAATGGTGGGAGTTCCACCCCAGTTAGAATGGCTATAATCAAGAACTTTAATAACAGCAGATGCTGGAGGAGATGTGGCCAAAAGGGAGCCCTACTGCATTGTTGGTGGGAGTGTAAATTTGTTCAACCACTTTGGAAAGCAGTATGGAGATTTCTCAAAAGACTCCACATATACTCCCCTATGACCCAGCAATCCCACTTTTGGGCATTTACCCAAATGATCACAAATAAGACCACACCAAAGCTACCAGCACAAGTATGTTTATCACAGCATTATTTACCAAGCTAAGATATGAAACCAACCCAGATGACCCTCAGTAGATGAATGGATCAAGAAAATGTGATATATATAAATACACACACACACACACACACATAATGGAATTCTATGCCTTCGTCAGAAAGAATGACACTGCCCCATTTGTTAGGAAATGGAAAGACTCGAAAAAAATTATATTAAGTGAAGTAAGCCAGACTCAAAGAAATGTAGGTCCCATGGTTTCTCATATCTGCAATAACTAGTATATATCTAGGACAAGCAGAAGAGGTTAAAAAAACTATGTACGTATGACCATATAACTTGATGCTAAGCAAAATGAAAACCCCAAGATATGGACACAAGAGATTTTATCATTTTTGTTGTTCTTTTTAATGTAGTATGTGATTTTTTTTCTTTCTTTGTATGTTCATCCCCCATGGTACAATCCCTGTTGTCACTGTATTTGATTTCAGTGCCCTGCATCTTGTATATTCATTTTTCTAAAATTTGGGAGTTAGGAGAAGGGAAATAACAAAATGCTGAAATAAGTATACAAGATGACCCATTGTAATAATGACATATACAAGACACTATGTTGAAAACGAACTTTACAACTTTGGTGGGGAGGGAGGACTTGAGGAGGTGGGGAGGGAAGGGATGGTAGGGGACAAACAAAGGAAGGGGTAACAATGCTAGGAAACAATGATAGGAAATGTACTCATTATCTTACTCATGTAACTGTACAGCATCTTTACAATAAAAAATATATTTTTAAAAAGAAATGGTGGAAGGTCACAGGCAGCTAAGTCAGGATGCACACAGCCCTTACAGGGATCCTTGCCACTGGTTAGCTGGGGTGGCCACAAAGGGAGGAGGGTAAGAGTCTTGTTGAAGCCATTGTTCTATAGCATGGTGTTCTAGTATGAAAAATACATATTAAGGGAGTTAGAGTATGTCCCAGATGGCATTATTTTACCTTGGATTTAATGTGAAGCAAACACTAGGCCAAATACTTGGCAAATAATCAGTTTTTAATCCACCTGGCTACCTTACTACCTATTTCCATTTTATACTAGCAAGTATTTCCATTTACCCAAAGAGGAAACCAAAGCTCAGAGAGAGTGAACACTTGCCTGCTGGGTATAGTCAGTCCTCACATTGGTATTGGCTCTGGAATTTGGGTGTCGGGCCTTCTGAACCATGCCAACACTTGCTCAGCTGCCACATCCCCTTGGGGTCTGTAAACACACATGCACCCCCACAGAAGCACACACAGGATGCTGTGTCACTGTGTTTGGGAATGTACACCCTTCATCTAATGGTATTTACTTCAATGGAAGAATGTGTAAGCCTCCTCCTTTAGTTGGAATCAAAATGGGTGCAGGCTAACACCTACCTGGAGAACAG